GGAAAGGAAGGAAGGAAAGGAAGGAAGGAAAGGAAGGAAGGAAAGGAAGGAAGGAAAGGAAGGAAGGAAAGGAAGGAAGGAAAGGAAGGAAGGAAGGAAGGAAGGGAAAAGGAAAAGAAAAGAAAAAAGGGAAAAAAAGAAAAAAGGAAAAAAGAAAAAAGAAAAAAAGAAAAAAAGAAAAAAAAAGGAAAAAAGGGAAAAAGGGAAAAAAGAAAAAAAAAGAAAAAAGAAAAAAAGGGAAAGGAAAAAAGGGGAAAAAAAAGAAAAAAAAGGAAAAAAAAAATCTCTCCGCAGGTCCCCTTCCCCACGGCCACGAGGCAGGGCACCTTCCCCGCTATCAGGGCCTGGGTACGTGAGCTGTTCAGCCCCTCAGCAAGCCTGGGCGCTTAGCCCCTGCTCCTTGCTCCCCAGAGCGCCCGTCGCAGCCCCGTTCCGGCAAGATCTGCTCTGTCTCTACACACTTGGTGGGATGCTTTGCAGCAGAGTTCATCATAAGGTGGCCTAAACATGAACATACAGAGGAGAAAATCCATGATGTCCTTCCCAAAAGGCAGAAAGCAGCAGCTGCTCAGAGCTCCTGCCGGGGCCTCCTCTCCAGGGCGTTCTCTGCGATCGCTCGGGTCGCAGGAGCGGCTGCTGCTGCACACACTAAACGACCAAACCAAGCAAAGGAAACAGGGCTTGAAGCTACCTGCGATCAGCCTGCCCTGTTCATATCAAGATCWAGTCCTGCAGGCTGGAGACCAGCTTCATTTTGGTAGTAACCTACTCTCTGCAGCCACTAAAATGACAACTAAAGAGGATCCCACCGTGCTGGTCACGCCGGGAGTTTCCTTGCGGAAAGCTGCATGCGATGGAGTCACCTATTGCCAACAGGAACCGCGGAGCTGCGAGCACAACCGTGCATTCCCATGATAAGCCTGAAGGTCAGAACCTGCACACAGCTCCTTAGCTGCCTGAAGACGACCGTGCTTGCAGGGCTCCGTCAGCAAACACTTCTTCCTGTKCCCGAGGAGCTTCCTATGCCTCTCGAAACACAAAAACCCTTCACATCACCCAAGCTCGGATTAATATTTTTGCATCGCCTGTTTAAAACCATCCCCACGCAGCACAGTACCCAGGATGGAGTGGAGCGTCCGGCAGACCCCAGTGTTGGGCAGTGCCTTGACCAGCGAGCCGCACACCAGAGACCTTGGAGAGCCCCTCAGGAGGCACCAGAGAGGGACGTGCCTGTCCCCTCTGCACCCCGTGCTCCACAACGCGCGCTTGGCAGAGCGGAGGCCACAGAGGGGCTGATGCACCTCGAAGCTCTGCACGTCTGCAGGGAAAGCAGCTGGTGCTCCACGCGGCACCTCTGCAGCGTGAGCACCACTACAGCACCTCCAGAGACCTGGCGAGCTCGTGTCATGCAAGTTTGGCTGGCGGGACATGGGTTTGGCTGGCGGGACATGGGGCAGCCTTGGCAGGGCGCAGAGAGCAGCTCTGCAGGACTCTCTTCTAGCCGCCAACCCTCTTTCGCACGCGGGGGGATCCGTGTCGGCAGCTCTTGTCCAGCCGTGCCGCCCGCGGCTGCGGGCACCGCGGGCGCCACTTACCCCGGGCAGCGTCTTCTGCTCGTGCAGGGCGCTCTGCGCCTTGATGGCCGAGTCCCTGGCGCAGTAGGTGAGGAAGGCGCAGCCTGCGGGGATACAGCAGCTATCAGGATATCTGCAAGGCCAAACGGTGCTCTGCCTCTGCTACCCGCCTGCGACCCAGCTACACACACTGCACGCGCTGGCCTCTTCCAGCACATATTTATTCCAACCCTTCCACTCAGATGTGGAGGAAATGCCCACCACGGCCCTTGCATGCARCCTTATTTTTTAATTCTTATTTTGGTTAGCAACTTTGTAAATTGCCTGTAAAAAATAAATAAATAAATAAAGAAGAGACAGAGGAAAGGCTTGCTAATGAAAGGCATGGATATTATTTATGAAATCTGCAGGCTCCAGGGAAGAAGACAAAGAAGAACCAACAAGGGAGCTGTAGGTCCCATCCAAAGTTGGTTGAAGCCCTTGAAGAGGGTTCCAGTGAACAAAGGAGGTTTGAAGGAGGCTCTAGCAAGGTGAGAGGGAGCAGGAGAGCAAAGCGGCTAACGCTGCCTTTGCAAGAAAGAGCCCGAAACACAGAGAGAAARGAAAATGCTGGGAGCAATTCCTCCCATCAGCTGGGATCACCGATGACGACAAAATAAATAAGGAAGAAGCAAATGTCTGGGATGTCAGGCTGATACAGAAGCCCCTTGATCCAGGCTGATGGGTTCAGTTGGGTTCTGGGGCACATCCCTACAACGGGCACAAGTGCTTTCCTGCACGACAAGGGGAGCTGAGAGCAGAGCTCCACGCAGCCAGCAAGGCGGGGAAACCAGGAGACARGCAGCAGGAGAGGCCAGAGCCCCATGGGCTTGGCCAAGACCGGAGCCAGTGCCTCAGCCTAAACCGGAGCTTTGGGAGGAAGGGAGCGATGGCAGCCCCAGGAGGAAGGAGGATCGGCTTTGGGTGCTCTGGTGCTAAGAATAACATTGAGCAAAAGGGGAAAAAACCTGGCTGGTTATCAAGAGCCATTTCCTAGCAGAGAGATTTATTAGAGTGTGGAATGATGTCCCAGGGGAGGCGCCGGCAGCAGCGCCACCGGAGCTCTTTGGGATGAGGCTGGGCACGGCGCTGGGGAGCAGACACACACGAGAACGCGCGCGGCCCCTTCCCGCGGCGTTTCCCAGCCCGGCACACGGCTCCCGGCGCCGCTCGCGCTGCGTCYCCAGCCTCCGGCTGCTCCCTGGCTCCTCCGGCACCCGGGGGCTGCAGGGCAGAGGCCGCCCCGCTTCGCAGCCCCAACCTGRCCCAGGCGCTGCCTTTGCAGGCCGTGCAAAGCCCAGGACAAGCCCGAGCCGAGGCCGCACGACTTCGCTGCCCTTCAGGGGCATTTCTCCTCCAGGGAGCTGCAGCCGCCGAGGAATCACGGCCGGCCTGCTAGGAAAAAGCAGAACCAACAAACGAGCAACCAGCGTTTCGCCCAGGTTTGGAGCTGAACGCTGCGCCCGGGCCAGACAAGGAATCACGAGTTAATAGAACAAATGCGGCGGGGCCAAGAAATATGCAGGAGGGCTTTTCTTCCCGTGTCAAAAGCAGCTCTGCGGCGAGGAGAGCACCTTTGCTTCCCTCTCAGACTACTGCAATATCTAGAAAGGGGCAAAGCACGAAAAGCACCTGCGGGGAGGTTTGGAGGCTGGGCCACCGACACCCCAAATGCAGCCCCCCAGTCCTACCTGCTGCAACGGTCTGGGCTTTGCAGGAGAGAGGCGAGTCGCACGAGACCTGCTCTAAGATGCTTGAAGCGAGACTCAAGGCATGAAATTCTAGAGTCGGGACTTGAGAATAAGCAATTTCTTCCATCGAGAGCTTCAGCGCAGCGGTGCCAAGTGCTCCTGCACATACAAGGGACGTTATCTAGAAGCCTGCAGAAGCTGCCAAAGAGGCAAGGTGTGCTGGGCCTTTGGAAAAGGCCCTCTGGAAAACCCATCCGTCTGTCTTTGCGCTGTGTGCGCTGGAGATGTTTGCTCCTGCACCTACCAGTCCTCATTCTCAGCAGTCCTCCGGCTTCATTCTGCACCTCACAGTCTCCTGCTTCCCCTCCTATGGGCCTGCTAGGAAACCCATGCAGGATGGGTGCCAGTTCTCCGAGAAAAACTGCYTTCTGCCCCGTCCTGCAAATCTAGGCCAAAGATTTTCACTGCATCCTCAGCCTCCCCAGTCTGCTCAAATGTTCCCCACCCCATTCTTCTCATGGAAATATCAGATTTAGGAAAGATCCTTGGGCCTGCAGGCCACGCTGCTGCCCTGGCAGGTCCCGTGCACCCCGTCCTGCTGCTGCTCGGCTCCCACGTCAGGCTGCAGCAGGTGACGAGGGGACCCCTGGGTGCTGCTTCTCGGATAGTCTCTCTTCCCTGTTTTAGGAAAGTAAAGGGGGGATAAAAAGTGAAGCGGCGTGTGATCCGTCAGCTGGATCCGGCTGCGGGTCAGGGAACGCAGGGAGACAAAACTGGATCTGCTCTTACGGCAGCCCCAGAAAGACCATGGCCCCCGTTTGTGGCAAGGATGGGTGAATGATCACTTGGATTTACCAAAGCCAACCACCACCCGCGTGTCTGCAAAGCCAACCATCARCCACGTGTCTGCAAGCCCCGGACAGGTCCCCTGACCACGTTTGCTGCCCGCCGTGGGCTCCACCAAGGGCTTGGTCATTGAAGCCTTGGGCACCCACCAGCCCTGCGGGTGCAGGTGGCAGTGGGGCTCCCCCAGATRAGGTCTCGCATCCATTTGCACAAAACAAGGAGCCCAGAAGAAATCAAAGGTGTGAAAATAACTCTGCAGTGGCAACCAGAGCAACCTGGATGTCTCTGGAAGGAACGGAGCAGCAACAAGTCCTAACCAACACCTGCATCTGCTCAGAACGTCAGAACCAGAGGAACACACTCATTTTGCAGCTCAAATTCTGCATTTAACAGCAAGTTAATGCCACACAGATCTGGCTAATGCCAGTGCTGGCCCCTCTAATTTCCACACCTGAGTGGCAGATTCCTGGAACCTACCTGCTGCCTGACYTGACCTCCCCCCACAAACACAGCTGGCATTTAACACACCGACCGCAGTGAAACGGGCACTTGCATCTTGCCCGAGGCCCCTTCTCCTCCCCAACGGCCTTCACACCCGGCTGGTTGCAGGAGATCTGGACTCAGCCCCACGCACACGTGGACACCGGAGCACAGGATGGTTTGGGTCTGAAACCCGGAGCCAGGCCCTCTTTGGTTAGGTTCAAACCACCCTGTATCCCACGGCCTTCAGCAAGAAGCATTTTCCTTTTAAATTGGGATTAGCTTTGGCCTTTTGTTTGGAAATAAAATCAACCTTCTGTCATCCCATCTACTTCTGTTTAGCCGGGGAAGGTGGACTTGCCTTAGGRCACTTTAGGGCTTTTTAACCTTAAATCTGAAGTCAGAGGCACCGGGGCTGAAGGCAACTCCCAGGCCCTCCCGTGGGCGCTTCATGTGACCTCATCACAGCTCCTTCCGCCCACCATTCCCACAGGAACGGGGTTCCTCCAGGCTCGCTCCACGCGTGCCCGGGAGCGCTGCTGGGATCACCGGCCCGCATCTCGCAGCAAACGGGCCCTGTGAGGTGCCCCGTCGCCGGAGCAGCGGTCACCACCACGACAGGACCCCAGGCCCCAACACCTGCTGGGGAAGGGCGCCCACTGCTCCCCAGACGGGCGCTGACACCCCGGACGTGGCACCTTCCCAAGGCAACAATAAGCACAGCCAAAGAAGCCCTATAAACTTTTCAGCATCCCCTGCAGGTCCATCTGTGCTGGAGGGCTCAGCGAGGCCCCTTCTCTCTCCCGCAGGCCACTGGAGAGAGCAGATTTGCGGCTCATACTCTTTGTTACGCGGATTTTACCACGCACCGCTATAGCTGAGCGTGGGAGGAGGTGCGAGGCCCGCGGCTGGCCCTGCCCGCGGGCTCCKGCTCCGCTCCGAGCCGCGGCCGCGCGCCGGGCTGCACCGCGGAGCCTTTGTCAACGGCGCCGGTGCCGGCGCGGCGCGCAGGCC